GTTACGAAATATGATCAAATATTTACAGGAAATGTTTATTACCGTTATATACATCGTGAATTTCTCCATGAGTTACACACCGATAATCTTTGAGTTGACTCTTTTAAACTCATTGTAAATATGACCTGTGCAATTCGTTTTGAAATAACTCCTGCAATACTTTGCAATTGCTCGAATTCTAGCAACATGTACACTAGTGCTATATTAATCAATCAATGTAATCTATAAAGACTTTACTTATAAACTAAATTGTTTCTTAATATTTATGAACAATTTTATCTAAACCACTAGACATATTTTAACTGTGATGAACTAATTTTGAGTTTAATGAGAATGTCCCATGTATGAAAACACTTTCTACATATTTCATTCCTCATTTCCCCTCGTCAAGTAGATATTCCATCAATAGTTCCATCAGACCCTAATGACAGCTTGGATATCGAGAGAAAATATGTTGTGCATAAGTAAGCATTTGAGACATGCGACCACTCAGAAATCTAACATCAGTTGTCGAGGAGGGCAAAATGGACAAAATAATAAATTTTGACGGAATGAAAACTTTTAAAGTAGTATACGGAGTAGCAGGCTTTTATCCTGGAGAGGATGCTTGTAGACTACGTAGGGCTTACTATTTGCTATCAGACTTTATAATTTTTTGTGTTCTCCTCGCTACAGTTTATCAGCTTCTTACTCACCCTTCTGATCAAAAAGAGTCTTTGTCGGTCAGTCTTGTTGTGACCATTGCTTACTTGCTAACCCTCTACTACTCGTTGTGCTTTCGTCTGCAATACCAGAAGATTGTTGATATGAAAAAGATGCTGGAAGATGTAGCTACTTCTCTCTCGCTGGAGATAAACAAGGAAGCGGTTGTTAAATCAACTCGTCATGACGTTCGTTACCACAAGATCTACGTTATGTGTGGGCTGTTCACTGCGGTCATGTCAGCGATTCTGTTCTCCATCCAACCTTTGCTACGAAGCTTAGGGTTTTTCGGTAAAGACGGCCAGAAGGTGCTTCAGATCGACACCTGGTGTCCTTACGACTGTCACGCTGCAATAAAATTTGAAATTACAGTCTTCGTGCAGTTTGTTACTGTATTTTGGGTCGCAGTAAGATTCTTTGCAAATGATTCATTCTTCATGTTTGCAATAAAACTGAACATACAGTATTTCAAACTTTTGAAGAGCCTAGGAAAGAGTGTGCTAAGTCACATATCAGACATACAACTAGTTGGAGAACAAAAAGACAATACAGTATTGAAGGAAAATAATTTGAAAGTGCTTCAACCTCTTGATGGAAAAGAAATTAGATTTAAGAGGTCTTCAAGCATTCAGTATAACAAGTTGGAGTTGGATGAGAAATCAGAAAAAATGGCTAATGATAAATTAATTATTTTCATTAAAGAGCACCAGATTGTTTTAAGGTACAGTAAATACATCATCCGAGTTTTCAATAGGCTATTTTGTTTATAAACTATTTCATTTTTCTAATTTGTTGAGCACCCGTTCTTCAGTGGCGGCGATTAGGCTTGAGAGGTGGGGGGGCGAAATCTAGATTTATTGTTGATATAATTCTATTTTATAATTTTGATATGTATTCCTTATGAAAGTGGGGGGGCGACTGCCCCCCCTGGCCCCCCCTAAACGCCGCCTCTGCCGTTCTTCGTACGGGATTGGCGTATAAGTATCAAATGTTTATTGCAGTTATACTCAATCTCTGCGTTTTTAATGAGGCAGAACCCAATTTGAGAAGATTTGGTTCTTTTAATCTATGGTATGACTAGCTGTACCCGCGGGCTTTGCCCCGTTTAACTTCACAAGTGAGCTCGTTCGCATGGCTCAAACTACGTCCTGGTTGCAGTTCGTTCGCTACGCTCACTCACCTTTTGGTTGCAAATTGGCTGTAGTCAGAAATTTAAAAAAATAATAGTGCTGCACCCTGTTGGTAATCCTTGTAACTTTAATGCTATTGAACATCATAGAACAGAACCAACTTGTTTAATTGAAACAGCTGTTAAGAAATTCCTTTCCAGTATGAAAAATCATAAGGTTAACATGGGAAACTCCAGAGCCACTGGGGCGGAGCCCGAAAGCCCGATCAGAATAAAAACTACTTAGTTTTCCTATTTTATGCCCAAAGAATCGGCGTACCGAATTTCAGCCTCCTAGGTAAATGGGAAGTGGGAGAATTAGTGATGAGTGAGTGAGTGAGTCAGTCAGTGAGGGCTTTGCCTTTTATAGATTTAGATATTGTATAATACATCTACCATAGCCATTATAATTTTCTATCACTTCACCTAAACAATATAGAAAAGAGTAAATTACCAAATATTTGCACAATATCACAAATTATTTATAGATCAAAAATATAAGCATAACTGTAAAAATAAATCCTACATGGACGGTTCCCATCGTATATCACAATAAATTGTTTGTTACTGCTTGGTTCAAATTAGCTGTTGTCATAAATGAAAAACATTAATAGTGCTGCACCCTGTACATAAATCTCATAACTTTTTAATGCTATTAAATATCATAGAACCAACTTGTGTAGTTGAAACAGCTGGCAAAATTATTTAATTCCTTTTAGCGAATTTCCCATACAGGGAATATTAGCAAATTTTCCATACAGGGAATAAGCTATTACCGTAGTACTCATGGTAAGACCTGGACGCGGGACCGATTTTTTTTTGTTTTGAGGTCCCTAGAGGCCAAAATCACCATCCGTTCAAATTCATATATATATATATATATATTTATAAATAATTGAAAACATTATAAATACATTAGTACCCTTTTTAAATTCATTTTTAATTAATAAACGACATGTTTCGACACTTAGGTCATAGTCATGTTTACATTTACAAATACAATAACAAAAATAATGAAAGGAATAATATATTTATTTATTAACTATACATTTATATATATACTAGCTGTACCCGCGGGCTTTGCCCCGTTCAACTTCACAAGTGAGCTCGTTCGCATGGCTCAATCACGTCCTGGTTGATGTTCGTTCGCTACGCTCACTCAACTTTAGGTTGGAACTCGTTCGCTCCGCTCACTTACTTAGGCAAATGGAAATTCGCTTAGTCTGCAGGTTTGCTGCGGCGGGGGTATTTTTAAATGAATACTGGTTAACCAAAAAAAGAAAATTTCCAGAGCCACACTGGGGCGGGGCACAAAAAGATCTTTGAGATAAAGAGTGTATGTCTATATAATTGGGAACTTAAGCTATCACCATGCAAAATTTCAGCTCAATCCTACGAGTAGTTAATGCATGATTGAACTTCAAACAAACAAACAAACTAACAAACAAACATACAAACTTTCGGGACCGCGTCTCGTTGTCCCTCCGTCTAGTTGTACCTACGTCTACTTGTACCTCAAGGCCTAGGGACATCTAGTCGTAGGTACAACTAGACGTAGGTACAAGTAGACGGTGGCACACCCGACTAGTTGTACCTGCAGATTTTTAGGAGGTACAAATAGACGTAGGTACAAGTAGACGTAGGTACAACTAGACGTGTATCCCACCGACAAGTAGTATCACCTAGCTTGTACGGATGCGACCAGTTGTCCCTACGACTAGTGGTCCCTACGTCTAGTTGTACCTACGTCTAGTTGAACCTACGTCTAGTTGTACCTACGACTAGTTGTACCTACGCGTATTTTGCGTCCTTATAGTCTAGTTGTATCTATCCTTCAATTCGTTACCCTGTTTAATTGATTACTGCACGAGTACTTTTTAATAATACCCTTAATTAAATCAGAAACTGCAGTGTTCCGAGTCAATTGAGTATGATTGGCAAATATTTTTCACCGCACTACGATGTTTTAGTAGTTTTGCAGACGTTATTTGGAGGCTGAAAGCTACGCATTGCTGTCTAGGGTCGAAATGGCAGCTATAGTTGTAATCAAATTTTTCGAGTCCTAGTACAGAAAATCGCTTATTTAATTAAAACATTTATATATATTATTAAATATACAAGCAGTATATCCTTAATAAATTGCAATAGACCGCTGCCTAGCAATTATGTATTACTATTTTTGCTGATTCCTTTAACTATTTTTTCACATAACCTTAAAGTATTAGCATTGATTAGTGTGCATTTCTTATAGTTTACGGATTTCCCAATGAACAATGACCAATGAAGTTGAGGTCCAGGGGTTGAAAACTCATATACTCTCCGTGGCTAATACCATACAAAAACACAAACTCTGAATTTATTTAGGTTTAAGATAATTGTTTTAAGTTGTTGTTAAAGCTAGTTAATGTTAGTTTTCTATAGAAAGATAGAGTTTAAGTGGAAAAAACAATGATAGCAGATCTTGACAAGAAATAAGTAAAACCAAAGTGTAATATGGATAAGGACTGACCAAGGGACACAGTACATTGTTATCAAGAACAGGGTTTTCTCAATGAGCTGCAAACAAGCCAAATTCTCCTGGCTTTTGTAGCAAGTTGTTTATAAAAATTTTTGTAAGATTGTATGATTTCTAAAGAAATAAAATAAATCCCTTAAACTGGTGACAAGTTGAAGGGGAGATACAACTAGCCGTAGGTACAACTAGACGTAGGTACAAGTAGTCGTAGGTACAACTAGTCGTAGGTACAAATAGACGCAGACGTATGAGGTACAAGTAGACGGTGGCGTACCCGACTAGTTGTACCTGCAGATTTTTAAGAGAGACGTAGAGACAACTAGACGTAGGTACAACTAGACGTCCGCACCATCGTCAAGTTGTACCCACAGCTTTGGACGAGGTACAACTAGACGCCTGTCACCAAAATGCAGCAGGTACAACTAGACGCTGGTACAAGTAGACATCGACCCCAAACTTTCACATTTTTATAATATTAGTAAGATAAGAAGTAAGATTTCAAGAAATTCGCATGAGGTACCTATGTTTAGTTATTGTATTATTTTTCATAGGTAGGTAGTGCCGTGGTAATATTTTGTGTTAACTATTTAAATTCTTTTGTACAGATGTGCCAAGCTCACCTGTCAAGTGTATGGACCAGTGATGATGTTTTATCTTCTCAGCTTGATTGGTTTTTTAAGTGTTGGAGCCTTTGGGGTCATAAACGTGAGTAATTTATGAATATGGGTGAATAAATTTCTTTAGTGCTTTAAAATCAACAAAGCATTTTTAACAGTCTGTATAAACAAAGCCAATAAAAGATTATGTTTTTAGGTTTTTTAATAACCTCTTCTCAATCGCTTTAATATTCCTTCACAATACCTATGTGTGTGTAAACTATGTGGTTTGTTTTACATGGAATCTTAATGATTTTATCTAACCCATACCGATAGCCATAATGCTTATGAATGATAGACTGTCACTATTTGAAAAACATATAAAATCCGGCAAAGAAATAAGTATGCTGGTCATAGAACTCAGAATGAAGAAGTGGGGGATCTGGGGGTTGGCTCAGGTATCTCAATTTCACTAGCCCATAAGAGACCTCCCGTCCCGTATAGTTGACAGACAACCATCCCTGAGGAGAATCGATCCGGATAGTTGGGCAAGCTGCTCTGCTAATACAGAAAAGAACAACCATCATTGATTGCAGCTCCCAGACCTGTTAGTGTATGAACAACAATGAAAACTACAGTATAACCGAAAATTGATCTGCATATTTTTGGTTTTACTGAAGTTTCCTTTTTTTTCATACAAAAAAGGATGAGGAATATGAGCCAATGGTGGTTGTTCTTTTCTGCATTAGCAACTTGCTTTGTATTCTTCGATGTATGTTATTATACTGAAAAATACCTTTGCCCTAGAGCAGCTTCAATGACAGGTATCACCAAGAAAAAAAATATCTATTCCTTGTTCAACTTTACCAAACAAAACATCACTATACAATGCAGTACCTACGTACAGCAGTTTCTGATTTTTAGACTACTGGGTTTGAAGGTGTGCAGTCAGGATGGTTCTTTTCTACACATTATCAACCTGCACAGTATATTTTATTAAATATCTTATTATTTATTATTTTCATCACCAGTGGTTTGGACTGAAGAGGACCTTTGTCCTAGGGTAGTTTCATTGGACTATAAAAATCCCTAGGTATAAATAAAGCTTTTTATTTTGTTGACAGACGAATGGTTTTGAAGGTGTGCAGTCAGCGGCAGTTGTTCTCTTCAGCATTGTCAACCTGCTCTGTATGTTCTTCATGTCAGAAGCTGGAGATCAATTAGCCCTCCAGGTACTTATCAAGTGTGGTGCTAGTATCTTCTCTTCATTTCTGTCAAAAGTACCATTCAAAGATTCCTAACCTTGCAATAGTTTTAGAAAATTGAAAAAGGCTGAGGTAAGTTTATCCTAATCTGTCTGTATTTGCATTTTAGTCACTTTCATTGCTAAACTTATACTACCTATTAATTAAACTGAAAGATTAGTAACCATAAAAATGTTACTCCATCCTACATGCCCTAGAGGTATAGTTACGTATAGTACTTGACTTGTGTCCATACAATGAGCTAGAAAAAGTGGACCAATGGTGGAAATAATGATTATACTTCCATCATTTGGCATGGATTTGTTTTTTTTTTTTTTTTTTTGCATCACACTCATTGAATATGATGGATTGCAAAACATCTTATTGCTAAAGGGCAAAACGCTAAATTTGAAAAATTCATGAGTCTTTTCAGAGCCAACGATGTTATAAGATCTAATTCACTGCCGAACCGAAAAAGTACTTATTTTAGGAATACATTGATAACCAAAGGAATGGATAATCAGCTAACAGACTACCCAAGATAAGAGATCCAGGCACATATAAAGTTCACAACATAGTTAGTTTGATGTTTCATGTCAAATTCCCAACCTAACAGCCTTCAAAACTAGCACAGCTACCATTCTACAACTTTCTTCTGTAGAAGCCCTCTTTCAAGGACGAAATATCACACTAGTTGTGAACTTTTTGTGAGCTGTGAACTGCCTGGAACTCTTTCTTTTGTAATTCAGGCCCAGGCAGGGTTTGCATGTACTGGTAACACGCTATGGGCCTGAGAGATATTTGGATCCCTCTTCCCTTTCCTTGCGGGGAAAATTTATCTTCCTTTCACTACCAAAATACCTAAAATGGCCCTGGGCTCAGGCCCATTTACTAAAGCAACCCTGGTGTAGGCCTGATTGTAAGCTATGTACCTATTCCTTCTTCCTCAAGGTAATTCTAGAGTAATCTGAGTATAAGCATTAATTTTGTAACTTGTAAGACACTGAACTGGTGTCTCTCAATCTTTCAGAGTGGCAGTGTAGCAGCTCCCCTTGTCCATGGTCCGTGGTATGAATGTTCCCCTCAGTTCCGCAAAAGTTTGGTGCTGGTGCTACAGAGAGTCAACACCAGAGTACAGGCTTGTGTCATCGGAGTTCCCAGCATGCCACTCAGTTGTACAACCTTCACATGGGTAGGTTTAGCAGCTGTTAATCGCATTGAATCTGTCTTGGAGTGTTTAAGTAGACATCCTATCTCTTGAGCCTCGACTTATTATTAAGGGGGACCTTGCTGTCTAATGTGGACCAGCCACTTGGGGGTTTTCACTCCCAGACAAACCTCAAGAAACTTCACAATCTGTGAGCCTGATGACAGATCCCCTTGAAAATAGATTTGATTGAAAAATTAATTCAGACAAATGGAAATTTTCTTAGTCGGTAGGTTTGCTGTGCGGGGTTATTTTATTACTATGAGCACTACCACTCATCTTTTTCTTTTTTTTCTTTTTTTAAAAAATGAGGTTGGCGGCCTCTTTTAACCTTGCATTTGCCTGTCCACATAGACTAAGCGCCCGTGCGTGGATCGTTTACAGCAAAGCAAGGAGTGGTACTCAGATACCCTACCAATCTCTTCTTGTCTTAATGAATGGTATACCCACAGATTGTTATAATGTTTAAGTTCTTCTTGTCTCTTAGTTTTTCTACATACTATGATAGGCCTAGTTGATATTGAACATGTTAAGATATAGTTTACAATAATTTTCCCTTTCACTGATGAAATACTAAAACATAAGAAAGAAAACAATGTTCACACTGCTATTCATACGTATTTGTAAGTTTGCCTCATTTTACAATGTGTTATTGTTGGATCTTCTTTTCTTTTTACACCATAAACACTGTTTATATTTTAATACACCCACGACCGTCCTGTGCAAAGCATACTATTTGGATTCATCATGCTGTGTCTTAAAGTAGAAAATGCTTAGTTTAACTCTCTACACACAAACACTTGAATACCAACAGTTATTCTCAATTGATAACTCTCTGTAGTCAAGTTCTAACTCAAAGGGACAAAGTTGAGTGAGCCTTTCATGCGGTTTGCTAATATCTAAGCTTTATTTTTTTCTGATAATATAATGTGTTAGATTACATTAACATACAGTATGCTGTTTTAAACAAGTTATTTTTTCTACCAGGTAGGAATTGGTTATAAATATTTAGGGTATTTATACACCAATTAAAACTCCTTTAGGGAAAGGAGCGACTGTAGTTTGTGGCTTAATCAAACAAGTTACTTTTTTAATTTTTAAACTTGGTTACATAATTAGCAAAGGAATGGAATGTCCGAATCCCGGTATCATATGAATAGTCAAAGTTTACACTGATCTCAAAGGACTAAAAGGGTCTATTAAATATTTTTGAACAGCAGAATTATAGACGGACAATTAAATTTCTATGTCAGGTAAATCTGAGAGAAGGCACTCGTGTCGGTATTGAACCAAATTAACCAAAAGCTTTATAATACCTGCTTGAATAACTATTTCAATTGTTTTCAGGTCATCAAAACTTTGGTCTCTCTGTATCTCTTCATGGTGGAGGTGCAGGAAGTCAAGAAGGCTTGAAATTATGTCTAATATCTCTTGTACGAAAAAAAACCATTCTCAAGGCTTGATTTACACAATTTGAGTACACTTTTCACATTGCTCACAAATGATTAGAATGCATGTCTGTGTAAAATGTACTTTTAAAATTACCTTAAAGACTAAGTTTTTTGGACTACAAGTATTATTTCCTCAACGTAAAAAAGCAAAGTAAACAAATGTGAGAAGGAAATCACTCAACTCCACTTCAGGTTGTCTATTTAACCATTGACTTTATATCTCTACACATTTAACTCTTCTTGGATGTTCTTTTACACTACACACTCAACACGATACTCCACCTGTTTAGCAGCCTTTAGTCTGAAAAATAATAGTAAATTAACAGATAACAAAGTTATAACACTATAATTTTACTTTATTTACATTATTTATTTACTTTATTACTTTATTTGCTTTATTTTTATGATTTTACATACCATCGACGTCCATATAGCTGCTCCATAAGGGGAACTGGGTGTCTAGAGGAAAAGGAATAACTCCCTTTAAAAAGGGGATTCAGGGGTTCTCATATACAAATTGATGTACAAAATGGTAGAATTTTACACATTTGTGTAACTAAATTTTCTTTAAGTCAAGTACCTACCGTAAATTTATTTTATTTTTGCACTATATTTTAAAAATCTGATTAACTAGTCTGGCTAGTCTAATAAGGCTACCTAATGTAATCTTATAGGGAGGGGGGGGGGGCTCTCGAGCCCCGTATTGCTTATATTGATGGACGCCCATGCTTAAGTCCTAAACCATCAAGTCATGTTTCAATTGTAAACAGAATCTTTTAAAAAGGTCACCGTTGTTGTTGAATTTCAAGGGACAATGTACTAGTAATTATTACATGTTATTTTACATGTAATAGTCCAGGCGCCAAACGGGTTGAGTATGCACTGAAAGTCTGACAAAATTTGACTTTTGATTATTGTTGGGGACATCTAGTAGATGAAAAAAATCGATGATGTCGCATTTCTAGGGTGGTCACAACTCGGGGGGGAGGGGGGGAAGTTGCGCGGGTCATCAGTTTACGTTTCCGCGTCTAACTCACAAACGGTTAATGATAGAAAGGTGAATTAAGCGTCTATCTACGCCTAAATATATTATCCTTCAAAAAGGTTATGACAACCTTTCTTCTATCTCTTATACTTTAGGCGCTAATCAACATTTATTGCAAAAAACTAGATTTAAAAATAATTTAAAATGAAATATCGGAAATATTGCGCTTGTTTAGGGCATGTTACAAACTATTTATGGTTAGAAAAACTAACAAGTAGTACAACAGCACCAAGTTTAAAGAAATCTGTGCAAAAACAACAGAGCTACGTTAATTTCAGTAAGAGTAAACGTGGAAAATTCATAGTAGTATCGAGGCGCGCATGGATGCTACGTAGCCCACAATCAATATAGGTTTGATGTTGTAAGTAACTATGGGAAAGCTGAATTTTTCTATGCTGTTAGACCATGTTGAGATGATCATTTTCCCGAAAGTCAACACTCCTCCCCCCTTGTGCTTTCCTCTAACCCCCCTTTTTAGATAAATTTACAGCCTCTTAGCAATTAAGCTATAACTTTAAAACGGGTAAGGATAATAATGCAATCTTTTATTAATCATTTTGCGTTACGATAATCTACAAAAATAATTATTAGATAAATAAATATTTAAAAAGAATTATTATAGATTTCTGAAGAAGAAGAAGAAAATGTGTTCATTGTAATAAAATATCAATACAGTGTTTTTTTATTTAAATGCAAAGAACAATGGTCAAAGACCGTCTGTTTTGTGTTAGACACACTGATTTAAAAATATTTTAAAACAGTTTAAAAAAATTCTATGAATCACATACAATTATTCATGAAATAAACTGATTTCAACTACAGAATATACACAAATAGCACTACATAGTAATAAAGATCAGATAACAATTGAATGAATAATAAAATTTAAATGTAGCCTACTGAGAATCAGAATTTCTCTTGCAAACAGTTAATAATTCATAAAACAAACCTGTTACTTTTATAATTTACTTTGATAGATACTTAACAAATAATATTTTATAAATTTTTAAATTTCATAGATTTTTCCCATTTTTGTATTGATATCTCAATTCTTAAATTTAATAATTAAACTCCATTATCAATTCCCACCCTTTACTCCACGCCCCTTTGAGATAATTTCCAAGTGCCCACCAATCTTTGCCATTTAAAAATAAAAAAAAAACTCATATTCATTTAAATATAACTTGTTGGACCAAATTTGACGTATCTTTTTTTTTAATTGGACATTCTGCTATAAAAGGGTACACGTTTCATCCCGGTTGAGATTACATAGTGGACATACATACATTTTATTTTCCATATAGAGTTAACTTTTTATTAGACGACCCCCTTTGTTTGTAAAAAATGTTTTTAGGGATGGTTACGAATAAAAAAATATATCCACCATTTTCCAATATGGCCAACAACTTTGTTATTTCTTATGGAATACGCTGTATTTTAGTATTATTTTAGAATTTAAAAGCTATTTTTTTATTCGTGACATTTTTTCTCTAAACCTACCCCATTTAGGAGTTACAGCGTGTTATATCTAAAAGAAAGGCTTGTGGTGTACATTCGGCATCCTGTAGCTCATAAACGAGTAAGTTGAGAGAGAAAGTGCAAAGAATAAATAAGTCACATATAAGTCCTCGTTCAAAAACATATATAAAATACATTAAAAAATACTGATTTTGTTGTTTTAAAAATGGCCACCATTTTCAAAAACGGTAGCTTACTTTGATATTGGAACAATTTATTTTATAGTTTTTTTAAAATGTAGATGTGATTTGAAAACTTGTTTATTCTTTGTATTTTCGCTCTTGAACTTACTCGTTTATGAGCTACAGGATGCAGGATGTGCTCACAAACCATTTCTTCTTCGATGTAACTCCTAAACAAGTAGCTTTAGAGAAAAATGTCAAGAATAAAGAGGTTTAAAAATTGTGCGTTTACATTCTAAAACAATCATAAAATACAGGGTATTCCATAGGACTAACAAAGTTGTCAGCCATATTGGAAAATGGCGAACATATTTTTAACTAGTATATCACTATAGTCTGTATATGTACTGGATGAGCTACATAACGTTAATATAATCTATATAAAGCGGCAAATTCAAATACAAAAAACCATAATATACGTAATTTTTTTCATTGTTGCGGTGCACAAAAAAGCCAGAGTCCTGTACAATCAATATACTGTACTATCTATAACCACTATATGCAAACAAACTGTTAATAACTATGTATCATTTTAAAATGTAAACTATGCACCCCAAATGTTGTATCAAAACATTTTGTTGTGCAACCTCGTATAAAAAAATCGACAAAGAAAAGTTTCATAAATTAATCCGTAAAAAACATTTTTTTATGTTTATGATATTTTTTAACTATGAATATTTAGGATACCATGGTAAATACACTTTTTGTAGAATATCGTAACGCAAAATGATTAATAAAAGATTGCGTTATTATCCTTACCCGTTTTAAAGTTATAGCTTAATTTCTAAGAGACTGTACATTTATCTAAAAGGGGGGGTATAGGAAAGCACAAAGGGGTAGGAGTGGGGACTTTTGGGAAAATACTTATCTCAACATGGTCTAACAGCATAGAAAAATTCAGCTTTCCCATAGTTACTTACAACATCAAACCTATATTGACTGTGGGCTACGTAACGTCCATGCGCGCCTCGGTACTACTACGAATTTTCCACGTTTACTCTTACGTAATAAAACGTAGCTCTGTTGTTTTTGCACATATTTCCTTAAACTTGGTGTTCTTGTACTATTTGTTAGTTTTTCTAACCATAAATCTTCTGTAGCATGTCTTAAACGCGTACAATATTTCCGATATTTGATTTTAAAGTAGTTTAAAATTTTAATTTTTGCAATAAAAGTTGATTTAGGCCTAAAGCATAAGAGATAGAAGAAAGGTTGTAATAACCTTTTTGAAGGGCAATATATTTAGGCGTTGATAGACGCTTAAACCACCTTTCTATCATTAACCGTTTGTGAGTTAGACGCGGTAACGTAAACCGATGACCCGCGCAACTTCCCCCCCTCCCCCCCGAGTTGTGACCACCCTAGAAATGCGACATCATCGATTTTTTTCATCTACTAGATGTCCCCAACAATAATCAAAAGTCAAATTTTGTCAGACTTTCAGTGCATACTCAACCCGTTTAGCGCCTGGACTATAATTTGTTACGGTAATTAATATATGTTTAATGTAATTTTATTTTCTGTATACAGATGGAGTGGTAGATTTATTTTTAATTCATAACTGTTCTTACGCACTGCACTGGCTTAGTTCTATTTCTTTAGATACAGGTAAATGTCTTTATAAGGCAATCATCATATCAATCACTGTCTTAACTCACCACAATGAAATAAATTTAATAGTATCATGTTGCATTTCTTATTCACCTACTCCTTGGCAAGTTAGCAATAACAACTTGAAGTTAAAGACAGAATTCAAGCAATTGGGTAGTCATAAGCATTGAGATGATGATAAGAGTACATGCTGTTGTGTCACAACATTTCCATTCTACATTATCTAATTTTCTGTAAAAACCGAGCAATAAGGGAAATGATATTGGTTTTTGAGTTGTTTTCTACCAGCAATTTTAATTCTAACCCAACTAAAGTCAAACCTGATGGTTATCATGAGATTTCCTCCACATACAGTAATTTAATTTCATGTTATTATCAACTGTCACTGTGCATGAAATTATAAGGAAATCTGTCGTTTTTAGGTGTTCAACCCAAGATTAGTTTAATTATTGAAAAATAGTTGTGTACAAAAAGCATTGGGTAGCAGTAAACTTTGAGATCAGTATTAATATTTACAAAAACATATATACATTTATTTGTTTCGCTCATGCACATTGGACGAAAAAGAAGGTGAAGTGTAACTTTCTTGGGACTCGGAAGAAGCGAAGTTCCCAGAATGGAACTTAAGCTCTTTGCTGTGTCTCCACTTCATTCTGCGATTCTGAAACCACACTTTGACCTGAAACAGATAGGTAAAGCATTCAGTTTAACACGTTGACGTTAGCTACCACAAAAGTACTTAATTTGTCATTCATATGGACCAGCGACGCACATATGGGACTGCCTCTTTCTACCGATGAATTGCCGTCCCATATATGCGATGGCTGGTCACATAGACTGGTAAAATAGACTGACGTTGCAAATTTGCGTCGGTGTACCAATGCTATTTAAATAATCATATCTTCATAATGGTATGTTTTAAGGCCCTGAATTTTTTGCAATGGTCTACTAGAGATTTCTGCCACATATGTGCGTCACTTGGTTTGTGGATATGATGGTTAGTGAGGTCGTATGATCTTTGGTAAAACTATTTTTACATTGCTATATCACTGGCCCATGATCTGCGTGTACTGTGAACCTAGGGACACCCGGTCTAGATGTGTAACATTAAAATGTATATCTCCGTCTGTGACAATGACTGCAGCGTCGCATATATGTGGCGATCAGTAGCAAACATGTTAAAATAAATGATGATTTTTAGTGAATTAACCTATTGGGAAGTAGCTATTAGCGTTGGTGGCATGCCTAACTACCTAAACCTGGAGCCAATATACTTTTTAAATGTTTATGTCCCCTGAGGCCAAAAACACTATTTGTTACAATTTTTATATAGAATTATGCATACAGGGTTGTGTCCAAAAAGTCCCAGGTTGGTTACATATTTTGTGAAATATTTAAAATGGAGCTACAAAACTTTGCAAAAAGCTACTGGATATAAAAATCTATATTCACAAATTCAGTGATCACCCTACTTCCTCAGGGGAACGCTAGGAGTCAGAAGAATATCTAAAATGTAAGGATAGTTTGATGTGCATATTGAATAAAAGGTCTTTATTAGTAGAATACAATGGCACAAATTTGAGCACAAACAGATTATCTAGTAAAAAATGGCAGCCATTTAAATACTTCTTGAATCTGCCATTTTGAATCTTTGAACGATTGCCATTTTTTAATCAGTTGTTATTTTGAACTAAAATTTGCAGCATTGTATTCTACTAATAAAAGGAGGTAGCGGATCACTGAATATGTGATAAAATTGATTTTTATGTCTAGAAACTTTGTGCAAAGTTTTGTAGCTCTATTTTCAATACAGACCCGGAACTTTTTGTACACCCTGTATATACTACCTCCGAAAATGCGATGACTTGAGTAATTTTTATCCGATTTTGATGAAATTTGGCTTGAAGTTGTTCCTTACTCATTACACCAACCAATGTTATGGTTCTGATTGTATTGTTGTGTTGTTGGTTGTGATTGGTTGTAGCTATTTCCTTAGCTGGCTGTTAATAAGCAAGATACCATAATATTAGTTGCAACTAAGACCTAAACTCAACTTTTTTTTAAACACATCAAAACAATTATATTAAAATAAGCCTTTAATTAGACATTTTGTTTTAAGCATTCAAGTCATACATTCACAAAAGATTTGTACAAGGAAAAGCAGCAAGGAGCTATTAATAAGAGTATTCACTGTCAGCCCTACGTCTTCTAAGCCGCTTGACTTTCTTCTGGCGCGGCTGCTTGGCCTTCTGGGTAGTTGCTAGATCAACAAATGGCTTCTTGTCACCATCACTAAGTGACCTCCAAGCTACAGCAGCTTCTCTTATCATTTCTTTTGGACTGAACTCTCCCAGGTGAGTATTGCGGAAAGCTTGCACAAAGTTAATGTAAGGCATCCTCGTAGGCTTGGGTACCAAGATGGTGATTTTCTTTGCACCAGAAGCTTTTCCTGACTGGTCCATGATAACTTATACAAAATTATTGCTAAAGTTGATCAATAGTGTAATTTAGAAAGATTTTAGATTTTTAAAGGCTCCTTGTGCAATGATGTTAATTTTCAAACTGAATATTTGGTTACTAAGGAAACTAACACTGTGTTTTATTCCACCTATATAAAAAACTATACAATTTGAGCCACATAAGCTGAGTTAGAGCTTGATTCTCTTGTTCTGGGGACAAAGGTTTAAATCCCACCAATGACTGATGTCTTCTAGCAATGTGATAATGTGGAACCCACCACAAGCTCAAGTGAGGAGTATGTTCTTTGTATTAGATAAGATTAATAAAACACAGAAAATTAAAATATGAGTGAAGGATGAGTGTTGAAAGGATTATATGATAGCTTTGTTACTGGTTCTATAATCTATAATCTGGTTCAAAATCTGTTAATTTATTGAAATCCCTTATCAAGGACAGCTGGATCCAGTTACGAATGCATGACAGATTCATCCCTTCTGTTCTTTTTCTACTAACTTAACCCTTCTACTGCTACGTATGGATTCAGGTGTTACGGTAGTGACCGTCAGACTAACTTATCAACTATACGCTACCTGAGCATCAGTGAGCCCCAGGGTGGCTGCTAGTTGTCGTCTGTCAGGTTTGGTGATGTACTTCTGCAGTTGGAACCTCTTCTCCAGCCCCTTCCTCTGCAGATTGGAGAACACCGCCCGGGACCAGGACCTCTTGCGCTTGCCTCCAGAGTTGCTGGCAGCTAGCGGACTCCTCTCTGGTGCTTCACTCTCCAGAATCACTGGACAACCCAGGTCGTCAGGTTATTGAAATAACAATAGGATGTTGTGGAGGGATTCAGTAAGACACCCAAACACTTCCTGTTGAAATTTATTTGTTTTTGATGTGCTAAGTTTTAATTTATATTTGTTTTTTCACAATATGATGGTTAGTTGACAGGGACATATCAGTTGAGGCAGGAGGGCCACTTTAATTAATGGGTCCTCAAGAGGTCTTAGGTTTGTTGGGGCCGTTGGCGTTGGGGACACAACGAAGAGACAAATTACCCAACAATTGTGAAGGGCACAATTATCTCTCATAGCCCCATGTCCCATCACATGCAATTGAATTGCAGGCCTAAGTTGAGGTGGTTTTTGCAAGAATATGCCCTTTCTGTTTGGAACAACCAAAGAATTGATGTGGTAAAGAAAACCATGTTTATAGATGACTAGATGAGGCTGGCTCTGTTGCAAGATACATCATCATTTTCCTTGACCTAACAAAAAGTGCATGAGAGTGAACTACTTCAACAATATAGCTAATCCATTTACAAGTCCTCCTCAAACCGTTTACTGAAATGTCTAATTCATGGTACGGTAGTATATCTGTATCAATACCTTAGTTACTGTATGTATTGTGTGTGGTTGGTTACTCACGGTTAGTGTAAGGCCTGATGGGGCGAGGAGTATGCAGCAGAGTGGCTGGGTGGGGGTAGAAGGGTCTGAGGTAGTTCTGGGAGTCTCCACCTAGACGGCAGCACCGTAACAGTGAACTAACGCATTCTGAACATTGAGGCATGGAAGTAGTTGACCTCTCCTCTGGAACAAAAATTTATGCGAAGCTGGGATAAGAAAAAGTAATTTATTTACCAAAATATTATACAATCGCACAATGGAACATAATGTGAAGTAAAATTGATTTAAATTGTAAAACAAAGGATAGAAAATGTTAGTACATGTTGTGTGTTGTTCGGTGAGTCGGTGGCTCAGTTGGTAGCGTCACGGACTTCGGGCCCAAGGCAGCGATGTCGGGGTTCGGATCCTGATTGTCACTGCCAAAACATTTTATCAGTACAGTTCACCTTTGTACTGTACCGGCTCACCCCTTGCTTTGCTGGATACGTTTCACGCACAGATCTGTAGTCTATGTGGACAGGCAAATGCAAGGTTAAAAGAAGCCGCCAACCTCTTAAAAAAAAATTAAAGTAACAGTGGACTGTAACAATTATAATGTCGTTTTAATTGTTAATTGTTTAATTATTTAATAAGTATAAACAAACAAAAAAATTTCATGTTGGGTCTTGATGTATTCCACCTTGACATTTTCTGCAGTTGGTTCAGATTTTCTTTGCACCATCGGTTCCAAAAATGCTGTAAGAGTTGTTGGACATGTTGCCATCGAGAAAGTCTATTTAATTTCTGATCTTTAAGATTAGGTTCCGGAGCACTGGTGAAAGGAGTTCTAATTAAGAAATGAGCAGGTGATAAGGGCGGAAGGATATTTGGATCGCTGGATAAAAGTGTTAAAGGGCTTGAATTGATACAAGCTTCTATTTGTACTAATAAAGTGTACATTTCATTGAAAGTTAATTTTGTATTTTGTAACTTACTACTTGCTTTAGTTGGTATTTCACTAACACACTCCAGCTTCCCATAGCCCTCCGAAATTTGGTGAATGAGTGGGGATGAAACTCCAGGTGATCCCTTGTGCAGCTTGATAGTAATTGGCTGTTGTGATACTCTGAACACCACAAATATTTAAACTCTTGTAGTTCCTTGTCTGCACCAACAAATGTTTTTTCACCACACTATCATGTTTTTGGCTGTATTACATACGTTAATTGGTGGCCGAAAGTTAGGTTTTGCTGGCGATGCCAGCTGTCCATAATTTGGGGACCGAGCAGGTTTTTACAGGCCGGGGCCGCAAAATCAGCTGTCCGCTTACTTACTTAAAACATGAATGCATTTTAAATACATAATCAAAATCCATAGCATTTCAATAGAATTGTGTTATTGTCACCGTTGCCTAGCAACTATATATTTTTATTTTTGCTGATTCCTCAAATTATTTCTTCACATAACCTTAAAGTTGTAGTTGTGTTGACTATCAGTGTTCACTATTATTGTGGTGAATAGTGGTAATAGGGTATAGTGTGGTGAAAAATAGCGTTCGTACCACGGACCGAAATGGTTTTGCGGCTCTCGATCGATTTAAGTTCTCGACTTCGTCTCGAACTTAAAAACTATCTCGAGCCGGCAAAACCTCATTTTCGGCCCTAGGTACGAAATATACTATAGCATTATCCGAGTAAATTTTGTACCATATGGTTTACCTTTGCAAGATACAAACCGTATTAAGGCAGCAAGGAACGAATCTGTCGTTAAATCCTCAACTAGTTCATGATGAATGGCCTTTTGTAGTGAAACACACAAACAGAGAAACGTGTGCTTTTGTAACCTTAGTCCTTTTGTTGTAGCTTGCATATAAACAGGTCCAAAATAATCTAATCCACAATGGGAGAATAGTCTTGAAGGCTTGAAGGTTAAACTCTGTTTTGAGGTAGTTGACCCATTAGTTGATTGGTAGCCTTAAGTTTAGTCTTAAAGTATTTCAGGCATTTGTCAACCACTTCTAACTAAACTTCTACCATTTAATGGCCAATAAGTTTCTCGAAGAGAACTCAATAAACGTTGTGGTCCTGCATGAAGTACATGTGTAGATCTTCTGCACTTAACCATTTTAGGCTATGTTTGTGATCGAGAATAATTGGATGTTTATATCAACACTTAAAGTTGAATGTTTCAGTCGACCACCTACTCTGATCAGCTAGCCCTTGGTCATCAAGAAAAGGATTTAGCTGTAAGCTTGATTTATCAACATAATTGTTTTCCTTGAATGTTTTCAGTTCATGGGAGAATGAGATTGAGCTAGTTTTATAAGAGAAATTCTTCATTTATTTCTGAACATGTAAGGGAACCTATGAGACAATCTTTGGATTTTGGATTTTTATAAAACCTTAGACAATATGCTACAACATTGTAAAAGTTTCTGCAATGATGAATACTTGCTAAATATATCATGACCATGAACATGAAAAGAGACGGCTGTTACATTATTTGCTTTACGCAGCTCTAGGAGTGAGTTGACACTCGTATCAAGTCGAAGGTTTGAGCCTTCTTTCCAAAATCGATGTTCTCGAATTGATCCAAAGAACAACAGTTGAGTCAGGGTAATAATAAACATTATTGGCGTCAATGTTCATTGCTTTGATGAGAACTTGGGCTTATTGACTAAGTAGCAAAGCGCCACAAAGCTCCAATCTTGGAATTGAAGTCACCTTCAATGGAGAAACACGAGACTTTGATGAAATTAATGTCACATATTTGTTCCTCCTTTTACGTCTTGACACCTTAGATAATGTTGTTATTAAATATGTATTAACATAACATATGTTTTGAATGACACATTGAAAAATACAGCCTTTTAAGAAATAAATGTATACTAGTGTACCTGTTGCTCGAATTCGAGCAATTGCGAAGCATTACAGGCGTTATTTTAAAACGAATAACAGTCATAATTTCCGATGACTTTATAAGAGTCGACTCAAAGATTATGGAAATACTCAAGATGTACACAGCAGTTAGATATAATCAAAATCTTTTGTAAATATCTTATCTTTTTCCAAAAGCTGACCTTGTTTTTTTAGCGTTTTCTACAAATTTTCCCCACTCATAGCTGCATTAGGTTGTCTATAATAACGGTTATAAATGGAAAAAAAAAACATTATTTCTATTTCTTCTACTGTACTTTGTTGTGTTCTATGACTTTCCTGTTTCCATTGTATGCAAACGGCACTTTCAATTATTGCTCAAGAAATGTAGCACAGTGTTAATTCAGTTTTATTTTTAGTATATCAAATTGTCCATAATTTCTCTCTTTTTTCCATTGTAATTTTTAAAATGACACCAACCAAGTATCGTTTACTACAGATGCGGTACACCAAAGAATATCGTCTACGTGCAATCTCCTAGAAGTGGTAAAAAAGGCAGAAACCAACCCATACAATAGATATAAGTTAACGCCATAAGAAATCATTTTAAGAGTTACTGTGATATTAGGATTTTCCACTGATTTGGTAAAAGAACATTATATTGCAAAACATAACACGATTCAGAAGAAAATCGATTTTAAAATCAGCAAAAACCATTGCAAATACTTCATTTTGACAAATTTAGTAAATCAAAATTTAAATATTAACAGCTGTTTCATTCAAAAGTAGCTTGATTGACAGTTCACCTGGCCCTGACCGAGTGTTAATCAGAACTTTAAAGACAATCTTACAAATATTATGTTGAAATTTAATTTAGTCCCAGAAAGTTTTAGAGAAGCAAAAACTATTTTAATATATAAAGGGAATGATCCCGCTGATCCTGCTAATTGGTGACCAATTTCAGTCTGTTCAACTCTTAGAAGATTGATAGAGAGAGTGCTGGAGAAAAGAACAAGAAATTACATAGAACTTAATGTCAACCAAAGAGGGTTTGTAGCTCAACCTGGAGCCTTCATAAACCTAGCCCTGGTCAATGGTTGTTTACAAGATGCAAAAACGAATAAAAAAGACTGTATGATTGCTATGTTAGATGTTTCAAAGGCATTTGATTTTATTGGTCACGCACATTTAAAAAGATGTCTCCAATCAACAGAAATGCCTTCAATATTAAAAAACTTATTAATAAATTTAATACAAGATAACTATACAAGAATTAGGATTAAAAATACCAAATCTGAAAAAAAATTTATTGAAAAGAGGTGTTTTTCAAGGGTCTCCCCTTTCTCCAATCTTTTTTAATGTAGCTATAAATGATATCTTAAATACTATTTCAGAAAAAAAAGTATCTAACAAATTTGGATATAACATTAATTCTAATTTAGACAATATTAGCATCGCTGCCTTTGCAGATGACATAGTGTTTTTCTCTAACACAGAAAAATCAATGTCTAAATTGATTAGGACAACAAAAGAACTACTTTCTCAAATTGACCTTGATATTAATATAAATAAATCAAAAATAATTAATATTAAGAAAGGCAAACTTGTTGAAGAGGACAACTACATTGAAAATGAACAAAATGTTATTAAATTCAATACTCTAAAACTTGGGGAAAAAATTAAATATCTTGGTGTAAATGTTGAAAATGAAATAGTTTTTGATAGGTGTGAAGTTATACAAAACTTTCAAAAAGATCTAGAAAGATTAGTTGGAACTAATGTTTTAAGTCCAAAATCAGAAATTGAATATCATAAATCAGTACCTCTGGCCTAGACTAACATATGTTTTGCAAGTAACACCAAACGAATTAATAAGTATTACATTTCTTGAGGACATCGATAAAATTATTAGAAGTGCAGTAAAATAAATTCTCACTCTACCAAGTGACACACCCAATTCATTCTTATATTCCCCTAAAAGATTCAAAGGTCTGGGAATAATTCGAGCAAAATGTTCTATACAGCATATAAACATGTGTGTAATTAAAAAAAACGTACAAAATAGCCATGTAAACGAGCTAATAAACATCCCCCAAAGAATTACCATGTCACTTCAAAAACTTCAAATAGAAATTGATGATATTTTTACACATGATTTTGAATTTAAAGTGAAAATAAGAATTGGTTTAAATTTGAGATCAAAATTACAGTTGAAAGAATTTGAACTTTGGTCTAAATTACCATGTAAAGGTAAAGGAATAGAATTATTCAAAGAAGTGCCTAGTAGCAACACATGGACATATTTAAAAAATTGCCTTACTACAGGAG